GCATTTTGAAAGATATTGATGACATTAAGATTATCACCTTCAATCACAATACCTTTGGCTTCAAGCATCCAATCTTTGATAAGATCCCTCAAAGATAGAATAGCTAAAAGTTCCATTTGCGCAATATCCCAATGAATAGTATGAAATCCAAAAGCAGCTAAACCTCTTCCTTTACAGTCTCTGAAAATACCTCCAATGCCAGTACTATTGTTGAGAAAAATAGAAGCATCCACGTTCACTTTGATCCAACCCGGAGGAGGAGGAAGCCAAGAGGATTTTGACAGCTTAAAAAGCTGATTGGCGTCTCAGTTCTCACGGATTAAGCCATTTTTAAATGAAGAAATAGATTGGATAACAGATCAATTTTTATAAAAAATCTTCTTATTTTTTTATTTTTCTTGCACATTTGGATTCCACCACCAACTATTTTTATTATTAGGGGCTTTTTCATTCGAAACTCCAAGCACATCTTTTGCAATATTTTTAATATTAAAAGCCACTTTTTCTACATAATATTGGCATCCTCATGCACAGATAAAATCTTAAGATCTAAAATCTTACTTCTAAAACTATTTCTATTAATATTCTTTAAATTCCCCCATTTAATCCTAGAAAATTATTTTACTTTATTTTTTATTATTTGCCCCTTTATTGTAAAGTCCAAAACTAATAATCGTTGTTGGGTAGATAAATTTTCACTCGAATTAACTTTACAATCTTTACAATCTAAACAATCTAATTTTTTTTATAAATTTGCATTTTACTATATCTGTTTTTATACGTGAAAAGATGCATAATGATTGCCAAAAAAATTAAAAGATTCACAAAATATATAAAAAAATTCAAAAGAAGCTCAAGGTGCGCCAATCAATTGATAAGAGGCTTAAAATGAGCCCATAAAAAGTAAGTTACCTTCCCTTTCAAACCTTTAAATCTTAAAAGAATTCATGTATTACTTGATATTTTCAATGATTTGTTTAAAAATTTATGATTGTGACTAATTAATTTGGTATATTCATCTATAATTTAGTTTTTATGCAACCATTTTTTGAATATAACACTTTTTCTTATTCGATTGATTTTTTTGAGTTAGATCTTTATTTTCAAAAGATAATTTGCCCTGTGAGAAGTCTGAGCTAGGGCTAATAGGATTGGCTATTCTACCATTTTTTAAATTTCAATGATATTAACTCATTAATTTTTACAAATTTTTAATTCAATCATATGAAGAACTTATCATATTCATGCTGTGATAAAAAAATTATTTATATTCTTTTGGTCTTTTTTTATCATCTTTTATTTGTTTTATATTTTATTTTTCTTTTTTGGTTTCCTCCTCCTTTTGTGATGTCAAAAGGAGTAGTTGTAGAGTTTCTATTATTTAGTTGTACTAATTTTTATGTACTACTTTTTGTTCAATGTTTATATCATCCTTTTGATGTTAGTAAAATTTGAATTGCTTATTTCAATTAACTGCCTAAAATTGAACTTTCTACTAAATGTTTGCCATCATCAAAAGGGGGAGATTATTGTAAATCTAGATTGAGGGCTTATAATTTTGATGATATCAAATACTTTGGTCACTTCTAATTTTATACGACTGCCTTACCTACTAATGTTTCAGGTCCACAAAATTAAATTATAAATCAAGACAGCTCAAGATTGGATAGACTAGGAGTGAATCAGTCAATAAGTGCATGCCATGGGTTTTCACTTTTCTTGAGTCAATTATAACAAAGTGCGTCATGATGCTACTAAGAGGTAATTTGAAGATCTTCTATATAAGTCATTTTTTTTACCCAATATTATTTCTTTTGCTATTGTCTTAACCTGAGAGAGCCAAGAGGAGGGGTGAGTAAGGGAGAGAGAGGGATCTTGTGCGGGAGAGTTTGTGTGGCATTTATCAAAGGTTGCTCCAAGCAAGGATCTGTGTCATCTTCTTTGATCATCATCCCTAGTTCCTTGGAGGTTCTAGAGAGGTCTACTTCAGCAATTGATCAAGGTTCTCTTCCTATTTTATGAGGAAGAAAAAGGAGTCGGGTTCTTTGTCTGCTTCAGGAGGAAGCAAAAGGAGTCGGGCTCTTTGCCTGCTTTAGGAGGAAGCAAAATAAGTTGGGTTCTTTGCCTCATCGAAGGGTCGATGTAAAGGAGGTTTGTACAGGCTTATCCTCCTCCTTCTTACCGTGGGAGAAAAAAAAGAGTCACTTAGTTTAGTGCAATACCTAGAGGAGAGGCTTCAAGGATTGGACGTAGGTAAAGTTGACCGCACCACTATAAAATTTTGTGTGTTCTTTCTTTTGCATTTCCACATTTAATTTATGCACTTTATGCTTATGGTGAATGAAATTTAAATTTAAATATTGATTTTTATTTGAGAATTTTTAAATAACCAATTCACCCCACTCTTGGTTAGCCTCAGGCTACTTCATAAGGGCTTAACATCCCTAAGAACTCTTAAAAAGTTGTCCCAAAGATGAAAAATTATCTAAGAAAACATTAATGCCCTACTATACTAAATTCAAAAGGTAAACATTATACAACTTTGTAGCATTGAAGGGTAATTGTACAAACTAAAGGGCATACATATAAACAAAAAGGTTCTAAAAGACATTTGAATGTCATTTTATCCTGATTTTTTTGGGAAAATATAAATTTAGTGGTAACTAGAGTAACCATCTAAAACATAGTTGAAAGGATACCCATCAAATCTATCTAAAATTTAATTAGTAAAAAGTATTGGGAAATGATCCTTCCTAGTGGCTTTATTAAGCTTTATATAATCTATATAAATCCTCCACCATCACAATCCTAGAAGGAATAAATTCAATCTTCTCATTTGAAATGGATGAAAATCCTTTTTTTAACACAATGTTTGGGCTAATCCAATCACTGTAAATAATAGGATAAATGATACCCACGTCAATCCATTTCATGATTTCTATATTAACCTCTTATTTCATATTTTGATTCAATCTCCTTTGTGTGTCAACTTTAGGATGAGGGGCTCCCTCCAATAGGATCCTATGCATACAAACGGATGAACTAATCCTCTATATATTAGAATTAGACCAACAAAATGTTCTCTTATATGTGCTTAAGATGTATCAACTTAACTTCCTAATAATTTTTAAGCTTTGTATAGATAATGAAAGGTAAATTTAACTCCTTTCCTAATAGGCTAATTTTTAATGAGAAGGCAATGACTTTTAGTTCTAGCTTAGGAGCCTTAACTATAAAGGGTTTCAAGGATTTCCCCTGAGATGATGTATCTAAGAATTTAATTCTTCCCTAAATATCCTAGGGGCTTCACTAATAACATGAACAAAATATTTTTCTATCTCACCTAAACTAGCCTCATGCAATGTCATAACAAACTAATAATCTCCCAACATCTACACCATAATATCCTCTACACAATAATCAGCAAAAATCCACTCTATAGTATTTGTCACCCTAGCGTTTAGGAAACTTCATATATTTAAAGGAATTGAAGGAGAATTCCTCATCCTAAACTGACATTATTAATTTTACCTTCTAAATATCATTTATATCACTATCTATAACTATGAATGGTTTACATAGGATGATAGGTATTAATCTATCTTCCTTTATATTTAAAACTATAAAATCTAAAAATAAAGTAAACTTATAACCCTTTACTAAAATATCCTCTAACACTAACTTAGGCTAAGTAAATGAGTGATCTGCTAACAGTGGTTGGCTAGACTTCTCCAAGATTTAATCTCTTAAAGATAAAAAAGACATAAGATATATAATAACACCTAAATCACATTTTGCTCTTCTATAAAACTTATCTTCTATTTCCATTAGGATGGTGAAACTACCAGGATCATTAATCTTCAATGATATTTTCTTTTAAATGATGGAGTTACACTCTTTGATAAAGCCTACTATTTAAAAGTCTCTTAATTTTCTGTTATTCTTAAAATGTCTTTGATAACTTTTGGACATATAAGAATTTATTTTATGGATTCAGTAAGAGGTATATTAATTATTATATTTTTAAATACCTCTAAGAAATTAGAAATTTGTCTATCCATATTTTATTTTATTAATCTCTAAGGAGAAGGTGGTGGTGGTCAGTCAATAACCTTCTTAATATGTTTTCTTTTTGTGGATTGAGATGGTTTCTTAGACTTAATGGGTTTCAATAGGGTTTCCTCTAGAATTTCATCTGTAGGCTTCTCCTCCTTCCTAGACACTCCCTCTGATTCTTCTCTACTCAATTGAATATTCTTGCTTTATTTCTTACCCTTTTCTTTTAGATTTATTTTGGTATTACAAGGCAAGGTTCCCTGGAGTTTATTATTTAAAGAACTAACAAACTACACTAATTAATTTTTTATATTCCTAATTACAACAGCCTGACTAAACATCTAAGTACACATCTAATAAAAGATTTTTATCCTTGGGTTAATTATTTCGGTTAAATCAAAGGGGTCATTTGCACTTAGGTTTTCATAATTTGATAAGGGTGCTTCCAATTACATATTTGATTTCACTGGCTTGAGTTTTATTTATTATTCCCATTTTGATTTTTTACTCCACATATGGTTGGGATGATTTCTCAACCTAGGATTATAAATATTTGAGAAAGGGTTGTTAGGTACACTAATAATGGCATTAAGGGATTCTACTCTTGATGCATTTAAGTCTCTAAAGGATCCAAAAAAACATTCCTCCATAGGAAATGGTATACCTTGGCATGAACTAATTCCAAGGTTATCTAGATTCCTACATATAGTAGCTACCTGTGTAGTGAAAATTTATATAGCATCTAATTCATACAAGCTAGCTATCTTTCCAAGGTTGATTCATTTGGATAACAATTAGAAATTATAGTGGACATTTCTTTGACCAAAGCATAAGCTTCATCATATGGTTAAGTCATTAATGATTCACCATCAATCACATTAATAATGGATATAAGAGATCTGTCTAAACCATTTTAAAAGTCTAAATAATAAGCCAATTGCATAATGCATAGTATGGACAATTCATATGTAATTCCTTAAATCTTTTCGTAGCCTCATAAATGCACTCACCATCTAATTGGGTAAATAAAGTAATATCTTTTCTAAGCTTATCAACCTTAGATGAGGAAAGTACTTAGCAAAAAAATTGTGAGCTAAGTATTCCAGGTAATGATTGAGCCCATGGGTAACAAATTTAACCACATGTTAGTTTTATCTCTCAATGAAAAGGAAATAACCTAAGTCTAATGACACTATTGGTTACACAATTATATTTAAAAATGGTAAATATTTCGATGAAACTAACTATAAGCAATTTAAAATCTTTTATAGGTGTTCCCCCTAAATTGAGAATTTTGCACCATTTGAATTTATATAGGTTTTAGTTCAAAGTTATCTGCATGAATATTAGGTCTATTAATGCTTTCGCGAATGCCTTTAATCATTGGATTACAGTATTCTCTAAGTGGTCTAGCTTGATCATTTTAATAAATTTGCTCAACCATTTTTAAATATTTTCCAAATTTTACCATTTCTCATTTCTTTAAGAGTCTTTCAATTTCAATCTCAAACAAAATTTTTAATGGTTATTTGTTATAAGGCATGCAACAGTAAGAAGCACAATAGAAAAAATTATGAAATATTGAACTGTTAATAAGTAATAAAATAACTATTCTAATCTTTTAGCAAAACAAAATAGGGGCAATACAAAGCAGGTAAAATTAAATATAGAGTCAAAATTAAATGGTTAGTTTGTTCATGAATATAAAAGGCAAGAAAGGATAATTAATTTCAATATCCAACAATGGAGCCAAAAACTTGACAAGTTATTTTTTAAAAACTACTTAGTTTATTAAATATTGTTGCTACTCTAAGGCGTAATTCTTATTTTACACTAGTGTACGTGTTGTGTCAAGTAATAAAGTGATGAGATAAATATTATTCCAATGAGGATTAGAATTATCTTAAACTCACTTTAATATTGCTTGATAAAATTCTTATATTTATCATGTCAAATAACTAATAGGGTGATGCAAAGAAAATTGAAAAAGATATATTTGTAAATATAAAGATAATAATTTTTAAAATTTATGCTGATGATATTTAAAAATACATGCTTGTAAAAGAGAGATTTCTTCCTAATGTTGTAGTAAATAAGAACATAAGTACTCCTTATCTATGTCAAGCTTATTGGAATTTTAGGTAGGATTCCTTCCAACTATAATTTTACCATCTGCTTTAGATCCCATAACCTTATCTACCATATAACTATATATGGCAAGAATAAATTTTAATTGTTCAATTTTTTTCTTCTACTCCTTTATTGAGGCTATGGATCACACTAGGCTTTAAGTTAATGCTAGATGAAGCTTGGAGGGATTAAAAATAGTGAAAAGAAAATTATGAATTAAGTTACCTACTTTATGTAATAAATGTTTCTTAAACTATCATAAATTCAAATAAAATTGTTCGTCCACACATGGATATACAATTAAACACAATAAATATTTGTATTCCACTGAATAAAGTAAAAGTATAAACTAGAGAATAGGATAGAAATGACTTGGCAAAGATTTAGCAAGCACTTTATAACAAATATATATAATTTAGAGTATGTAATTTTTTTGCTTATTAGGTTGCAAGGGCAAACAATCTCTTATGACCCTAAAATAGTTGGCAATTCTTGAACATGCCAAAATCTTTCTCAATAAAATTAGAAGCATATTTTTAATGCTTCTACTATAGTTCCATCATATAATATTATTTTAATTTTTTCCTTATTTCCACTGCCTTCTTTCATCCAAAGTACTTTAGATCCCAACAACTTGATCTTTTAGATCGACAACTTGATATCTTAAGGTTCTAGGCTCTAGGTTTAAGCTATATATGCTAGTTGGGTTGACTAGAACTCTCCCAAAGTTCCCTAGTGGGTGTCATAAAAGATTGGATCTTATTTTTTCTATAGCATAAATGAGGAACAAATTTTTCCTCCCTAGGGCCTCCTAAGACTCTAGTATAGATATACAAATATTATAATAAATAATGGTGCCCAAAACCTATTGAAGTGAACCTCTAATCATATATAGAAAGGATTGGTGAATAATTATTCCTATACCTATAGTGATGCTAGTTTAAATTGAATAATTCAAAAAATCTCTATCTTTAGTGAACTAACTAATATTGGTGGTTAGCATTAATCATGTAAAGATGAAATAATGCCAACCTTTTAATACTTTTTTTTCTTGAAGAGATGCAAATTGCATTAAAACAGGAAGAAAAAACTATTATAAGCTAAAAATGAAAGAAAACAAAAAAAATATCCATTTCCAAACAAAGGGAAATGAAGCCCTAAAGAAAAGCAAATTTTTAAAACAACAAAAAAAGGTTGGTCAGTATCCTAGAATTCCCAAGCATATACAAAATGACAACTAGATAGAATCTCAACTTCCATTACTCTAAAATCATAATGCAAAAACACAAAGTTGATAACATGAAAACTGAGAGGCCAACCTTTTGATACTATGGTTAATGTAAAAGAAAAAAAATTACTATTTTTACCTCCCTTGTCTTCCACCAGGAATTGGAGTTAAGGAAAGTTATGCAGAAAGTTATTATAATTTTTTAGTACAATTTTAAAGTTGTATGCTAATCTAACTCATAATTTGGGGTCCTATATATTCCTTCATTGTTATAATATCAAAGCATATCTATTTCCCTCTAATAAAAACACTATTTTCTTGGGGCTTCTTTACATTTGTAAGGGCCTTTCCTTTTTAACAAATGGTTTAAAGGATTAGTAATTTTAGAAAAGTCTCTAGGGAATATTCTATAAATTTTAACATGTCCTAGAAAATTTCTTACTCCTTTAATAGAGGTAGGAGGTGGAAAATTTTTAATAACCAGAATGTTTTCCTTATGCACCTCCAAACCTTTCTCAAATATCTTATGGCCCAAGATAATGCCTTTTGCGATAATAAGTTATCCCTTTACCTAATTCAACAATAAATTCAATTATTTACATCTCTTCAAAAGAATAACTAAATTCTCAAGAAAAGAATCAAATAAAGTAAAAAATACACAAAACAATTATCCCTGAAAATCTTAATACCCTATTCAATCAACTATGAAAAGTTAAACATCCTACATCATAAATGATAGTCATTTTATGATTACTAGTCAAATGCTTTTAAAGGTTTTAAAAGATTCTGTACACTCATGATCAAAATTAAAAGGAACATCCTTTTCTAAAATATGGCATTAAGGCTTCATGATTTAAGAAAATTCCATAGGTAACTTTTACAAATTCAACCTGTCATAGAAAACTTCTTACTCCTTTAATAGAGGTAAGAGGTGACAATTTTCATAACTTGAATTTTTACCTTATCCACCTCCAAACCTTTGTAAAAAATATTATGTCCAAAGAATATTTTGAAATTATGCATTGACACTTTGCACAATTCATTAATAAATTTAATTCTTCACATCTCTTTAGAAAAATCATCTATGAAAATCTTGATACCCTATTCAATAAAGTATGAAATGATAAAGATCTTCCATCATAACAATATTATAGGGGAATTACATAATGCAAACGATATTCTATTAAAAGTAAGCACACCTTAAGCTCTAATAAATATGGTTTTTTCTCAATCCTCAGGTGTTATAGGAATTTGATGAAAATCTAAGTATCCATCTAAGAAATAATAAAATGAATC